GGAACGGACAACAAAAGTGACACTACTTTGAACAGATTTGGGAAATCAGGTTGTTCCGTAAATATGACTTGCCATTTTTCTGCAGTGCATGTTTCTTTGAAAGTGATGCTGCTGTTACAATTTTTTTCCCTAATTTGATTTAAATGGTTAACTTCATTGTAACGGGCATCATAATTAATTTTTGTTTCCATATTTATGGTTTCGGTAATTTAAAGAATCAAATTAAAATGACTTATGAGAGCTAGCCAATTGTCATCATTGTAGTTGAACCATTTTTCGAAATAGCATACTGCTTTTTCTATAAACAAATTGAAGATTTTATACACTCTTGCTTTTATTCCAGGTGAAGACTGTTCCATGGATTCGATTTTCTTCATGGTCACAAAGCCGTAAAACTTGTCTTCTTTTCTTTGAATTAAATCGTTTCTATATTGAATTAAACTAGCGTTCAGAAACATAGAAACATTCTCAAAAATATTGTATTGTGCAATATTATTGATGTAAAAATACTCTGAATTTCGAATAATCGCTTACAAAATTACGATGTTTACTTAAGGCTTTAAATAGAGTATTTTTGCGTACTTTATGTGTCTTGTAAAGTGTAACGTACGCACAGTCGAAATAGAGTACAATACTTTATAATAAAGTACGGGTGGCAACCCTAGTGAGAACTACAACAGAAAATTGTGATAATGCTACTTAATTGTTTTGAGTCATTTTTCAGGGTAAAAAATTTACAAAAACTGTCATTTTATAACTTTCCAAATAGAGCTTGTTCTTCACTAATTCCTAATTCTACTCATGATCTACCTCATGCAATACACATTATTTTTTTACAACGGCGTAGATAATGAAAATTTTTTTGCTGCGGTTTTTGTCTCACGCAAGTGTGACGACGTAGGAAAGTGGGTGTTTGAAGTGAACTTGCCTTTTCCCGATATTGCCTTCTCGAAGAATCCAAACTTTGGATGAGATTCGTTGCGTGACCTAGAAATAAAGCGTAGCACGTAGCCCCGGATATCATAGAGAGCATTGTCAGCCACATGTCGGTCAAAGATTGGGGCGGAAACCTGCCGTACCCGATACACAACATGTGAGACATGGCCTTAAAAAGTGCCCAGGAATACTGCTCCAACCAAAATGCATGCTGAAATACAAAAAACAATTATATGTAATCATTTTCAATAAGATGATTTCGTGAATATTTGACGATGATCTTTCTAAAAAAATACTGTATGCCACATAGTTTGTCAACAAGGACGTTGTATATACTAGCGGATTTTTGCTATATTGATAAGAATCAATGTATCTTCTTGATCAATAGCAGATACATACATATACCGTTACATAGGTAACTGGTACAAAGTTAATACATCTAAATTATTTATTTAAAATTGCAAGCTAACACCTACTACTGAGTTAGTAGGTCAATTAGCGATCTTTTAAGTAGCGGTAGTAATAAGATTGAATTCGAATTCAGATTGAAGATTACAAGAAGCGGTCTCTGATGGTTCTCTATCATTTTCTGCGATCCCATAAAGGTAGGATTATATTCATCATTATAAGGTCGTTACTCCTAAGTACACGCACTTCCACTCTTTCCAAATCCTGAGCTAATCTTCGCATTTCCCTAAAACTAGAACAACCCACATTCTTAACTATTTGCGAACAGTAATCTACGTCTACCTCTATTCTGTTTCTGCCTGTAATATGTCTGACTAGACCTTCATGCCTGAGAAGGTGTCCTATCAACCTATCTCGCCTATTTCTTATTGAATTCCATGGAGTCCTATGTTCTTCCACTATTTCTAATACCTCTTCATTTCTAACCTTCTCTATCCACGGTATCCTCAACATTCGCCCATTAAAGTCCACTGAATTTGAAGTCTATATTGTCTAAATATAAAAAGGAGCATTGATTCATTGGAAAAAGGTGGTGTATTTCGCTTAGGATTCAATTTATGTAATGCCAAACACTGTATTATTAACAATCATCGTTTAGACATGGATAAGGTTAAAATTTTACAGGGCAACATCCCAAACAGCAGAAAACTATCTCTATTGGAAAACTTGGAAATTAGAAAAGCTGTTCACAATAATTGTAATCTAGTTAATAGTCAACTCCCACCCCACATGCTTCCTTGTAATAGTATATATTGTTCAAACGCATTTTTACATTTAACCGTGGCATGGCCTAAAGGCTTAATCCATTGTTTAGCATTCGCAAGGACACCGGTTCGATTCCGGGTCCGTCTGCCTTGATCCAAGTTTTTCTGTGGTTTCCTTGGATCACTTAGGCAAATGCTGAGGCAGTAATATTCCACAGATAATCTTTCATTCTCTTCTGTCTTNCTATTTAACAACCCTTATTAATAGCTGGCTTTCCCTCGCTTACTTTTTCTTCGAATTCTATTCTTTTCAATTTTAACTAGTCTGTACATGTTCTGCTAATACTTTTACTTCTAGAATATTCTCCCTCTATTTACTAACAATCCTGTAGTATAAATACTCTTTAAATTTCCTACTTATTACCCAGCGGCATGGCCTAGAGGTTTAGACCATTGCTTAGCATTCGGGAGGACGCCGGTTCGATTCCGGGTCCGTCTGTCTTGGTCCAAGTTGTTCTGTGGTTTCCTTGGATCACTTAGGCAAATGCTGAGGCAGTAATATTCCACAGATAATCTTTCATTCTCTTCTGTCTTCATTTCGTCCGTCTCTTACCCGAATCACCACCCACCCATTTTCACGATTCCTGAAAGGAGGCTGAAGAGGGCTTTCCGCTCTACCTTTCGGCGTAGTTCGGAGGGACTGCCTGCCCATCAGCATTAGTAACTGGTGGGAATGAAACACCCAAGTTTTTTTACATTTAGTAACCTTTTGAATAGCCTAGGAAATAGTAGCTATGAGCGGAACAATATTTTCGAGGTAATTAAAATTTTTCGTGAAAATTATTTGTTTTCTTTCTTCTCTTTGTTTTGATCTTTCACAAGTTTAAAGTTTAAGTTTGCAGTAATTCAAGATATCTACTTGAGTAGTATCACTAGATGTCTACATACTGTCATAACTACATTTTCACTCAATCTCAAAGAGCTTTTGTAACTGTATTATATCTTTTATTTAAATAAAAATCGTTATTTTCTTCTATGGCGAGGATTTCTTTTACAAGAGGTTCACAGTTTTCTGTGAAATTTAATTGACATACATGATATTTAAAAACTCATGAAGCCTGGTTGTTCCTTACTTTCAAGTGTTTAAATTAAATGGGAACGTTAAACTTCTATGCTACTACCTTTAATTATATCTATTTTTAAATAAATACTTCAATTAAAATGGGTTCTAAAAGTTCGTTCACTTCTGTACTTTAATTTGAAAATTGTTTATGAAACTTCCTTGAATAAAGTGTGAAATTACCCGTGAAGTGAAGCATCGTCAGTAGCAAAGAGGAAAAGAAAAACGATGACGAAATTTTCTCCTGATTTGACCCAGTTACTTTGATACCTACTCAAAACTTGCTGATTCTCCCAGATAATAATATCTGTACAGTAATATGTGCTTTCATTAATTTATTTTGCGCTCCTAAGAGGTGATATTTCCGTACAGTCAGCAACTTTACATTATTTCTTTCATATTTTGCAAACGTATCTCGTTTGTTTCCAATCGATTTCTACATGAAACTTATTAACAAAATGCAAAGAAGGGACACACACACACACACACACACACACACCGAAGTCTAAAATTTCAGTGTACCTATGTATTTTGATTTCCGCTTTTGTAATTATTTTAATGAGGTAGTAAAAGGGTAAACAGTACATTTTGCTGTAACCGTTAAATTGCTTTTTAATAAGCCTTTTGAACGTATGTACATTGCAGCACCTAAGTAAATAATTTACGAGAAAGTAAAAAAAGGAAGAATGTGGAAAGAAGTCAAGCAGATTAGCCGATTCTTGTCTCGCTCAATTGCCCACTATTCTGTAAGACAGTTTGACGAAATGAAGCTTCAAAAAGTACAAATGCTCCACAAATTTTAAAATTGTTTATCTCACTGAAATTGATAGTATACTGTAGGATCGTCGTTAAAAATTAAATTCTTTCGGACGCCCAAAAAAATCCTTCCTTTTGACGAAAAACTACGGGAAAAATTTTGCTTTTTGATTTTTAACAAAAAGAACACGTGCCGACGGCCAATTGAAGTTCATTTTTCGATAAAATTATAGTTTTTCGTTTTGAAAATAAATAAATAATATTGAATATAACTTGGTAGTCATTAAATAAATCTCTATAAATAAATAATTGTATATAAAATTTACAAAATTGTTCATATTTCAGGAAAAATAAAGTTGTTAGTGCTAAAATAACTGACTTAATAAAGTTTATAAGTTTACCAATGAGATTATCTCGATGGATATGAACTTCATCTAAAACCAAAAAAAACCCTTTTGTAGAGAATTTAATTTCCTATAAGCCTGTTTTCATAATTTTTTATCCAAATTTAAATACTGTGTTCAATATTTCAAAAAACTATAATTTTATTGAAAAACGAACTTCAATTGACCGTCAGCACGTGTTCCTTTTGTTGAAAATCAAAAAGCAAAATTTTTCCCGTAGTTTTTCGTCAAAAGGAAGGATTTTTTTGGGCGTCCGAAAGAATTTAATTTTTAACGACCACCCTAATAGAAAGGTTTTGGGTAAGCTTCCGAGGCGACTCTACTGAATTGGGGGGATTTTTGGAAAGCCTTGGTCAAGATATGTCGAATGGAATCACTCCCAGCGCACGTAGAAGAAGGTGACCTTTGATCCATTTTAACAGCAGATATTCTGAATGGATGTTACCTAATGCAGGTTGTATTATGTTAGGTTATTGTAGATAAAAATCCTCTCTTCATTATTGGGGACCAAACTTACCCCTTTCACTCTACCTCTTTGTTGCTAAAATGGGTCAAAGGGCAACTGCTCTACTCTCTTGGAGAAGTACCATTTAAAAAGTTTTGACCCATGTCTTCCAAAAGGTATCACTCCTTCCCCAATTCAGTCTATCGGAGTTTTGCCATTATTTCCTTATTTTCCAGGTTTTTTTATTTATTTATTCATAAATTTAAAAACGATGCACAAAAGGGACACTTATGGCATAACATAACTAATAGAGCAAAGACACGTATATTATTTCGTGAAACACCCCGTACATATTTGCGCTCCTTGATTCCACTTTAACAATTTTTACCTTAGGAAAATGTACTGATATTATTTGAAATTTATTCAGTATAAATAAAATTAGCGAGTTAGATACAAAGTTTTACTCCATTTAAAGTTTCTAAAGCTTTTCTTGATGTTTTTCATAGCCATCTCTCGTAAAAAAACGAAGAAAAGCTTAAAAGCCTTTTCATATTACGTATAATAACTTCGTTTGCAGATATCCATGCTGGAAGTTTCTATATGCTTGTTATAAATTTTCACAAGGCTGCTATCCGAAAATAGTGGAATAACATACATCATCATCATACTGAGGGCGTCAGGTCAAGACTGGGTTGGAAGCGCACCTCCACATTCCTTCCTATCCTGAGCTTATTTTCGCATTCTCATAAAATTAGAATTTAACACATCCTTGACTATTTGTGACTAGTAATCTAATCCAGAGCCGGGAAAACTTCTTAGGAGCCGCTGCCTGAGATTAGTTTGCGTCACTCCATACCCTTCAATGAGTACGAGAGAGTAAGCAATAATTATCCATATTGCTTTCTCTTTTTCTTATCCCTTTTACTCCCATATCAAGCCCCTCCATCTCGTAGACGAGCGAAGCCTCTCTCGCAACTTAATAATATCTACGAAAATGATCATCCCGCAGCTCAGGGGTAGCACGCCTGACTACGGTCGCAATACTATTGGATTCGACTATGAAAGAGGCGACTTACCTACGAAATGAAAGTGATGAGGAAAGGAAAGAATCCTCCCACTCGCACTCACAGGAGCAGTGAGGAGCTCCTTGGCTATACCTGAGGACTACTCGGGAGTCAAAAGAGCCGAGTTTGCGCGGCTCTGATCTAATGTAGACTTCTTCTTCTAAAATGCCTTTAACCTCATGTTTGAGAAGGTGACCTACCAACTTATCTCGCCTATTTCTTATTGACTTCCATAACATCCACTATTTCT